GGTCCGTTTCCTTTTTTGAAACTTTTAACAATATTTAACTATTTTCCTCCTCACTAGTGTCCCCTCATATCATATTTTAATGTTTTTCATATTCTCTTTCCTTCCACTTATACCCACCTTTGCATTTTCAGATTGTTTTATTCTTTAACCTGCCTCACTTCAATCTTAAATTAATGCTTTTCTACTATTCCTCCTTCTAAAACTCCGTGTCCAGAGAAGTGGTGCAATCAATTAATTACGGAGGGAGTATATTTAAATAATCCATGGTGATAGACTGATAACTAGTGCTGTCAAATTTCAAACCGAAACCGTTTAACTGCCCGAAACCAACCGACCCAAATGATAACCGAACCGATTAAAAACCGATTTTGTAAAATCGAAAACCGACCCGAACCGTATTTAAGTAAACCCGAAACCGAACCGATCCGAATAATGTCAAACCGTACAAGAACCGAACCCGTTAACAAACCGAACCAGTTTTAAACCGAACTGAAATCAAACTGAACCGAACCGTTGATAACCCGAAACCGTTTCTAACCCAAAACCGTTTGAACCGAGGTAAAAACCGTTTACACCGAACCGTTAATAGACTAGAACCCGTTTGCACCGAACCGTTTATAAACCGAACCACTTACAAACCGAACCGTCTATAAATCAAACTGTAATTTCGATGTCACAATAACTCATCAAATCATGATTATGACACATCAATTAGATGATTGAATAAGAAGCAGCTAATAACGTGATAGTAAAACAATAATAATTCATTAATACACTAAACTTTTATAATCTACGTTACTTCGTAATAAACTAGTAAGATCAATATGACTAAACTTGAAAATAACATGATATGTATTTTTAAAATCGATGAGAATTTGTATATAATATATAATGCCTAATGCCTAATATGAAGTGATGAAGTCTCGGCTTGATATAAAACTTGTTAACCAGCAAAAGGTTAGCAAGTACTATGAAATTTCAAACCAAAATCGTTCAACTGCCCGAATCCAAACGACCCGATCAAAAATCGACTTTTTAATTAAAAAAACCGTTCCGAACCATAATTTAGTAAACGTGAAATAAAACTGATCTGAATAACGTTAAACTGTATAAAAGGCGAACCAAAATAAAATTGAACCGAAAAAGAACCGAACCGTTTCTAACTCGAAACCGTTTCCAACCCGAAACAGTTTGAACCGGTGTAAAAAACCGTTTACACCGAACCGTTAACGAACCGCAACCTGGCTGCACCGAACCGTTTAGAACCCGAACCGAATTAAAACTGGTCAAGAATAAAGCGAAACCGAATCGAACCGATAACTATTTAAACCGAACTGAAACCGATCCGTGAGACACTTAAACCGATTTCAAACCGACCCGATTTAATACCAAACCGATTTCAAACCGAACCGAACTCGAACTGTCAAACCGTTTTGACAGTGCTACTGATAACAATGGGATATGGGGTCCTCTTGCCTCAAGTCTTCGTTGCTATAAAGAGGTCAGTAAGATTCCCATAGACATTGAATGTGTAATAGACTCAATAAGCAAGCCATGATCAGAAAAGTGCGTCTACAAATACTTGATGAATGGTCATTCTATTGAATGATTGAATCAAAAGCTTTCTGCAAGTCAATTTTAAGCACACATCTAGTAAAGTTGGTCTTCCTCTTGTGGGCTATGACTCTCATGACCGAGTAAAATATTGTCAATAATTGCTCCCTTTTTAAATGAAGTCAATACCCTCAGCATTTTATTTGTGAGAACTTTGGAGTTTTTATTTTTTATTTTTTTATTTTTTATATTTTTTTACTGAACATATATACTAGCAATTGAACATCAGTCCTTGACATGACAAGCATTAGGCATCTTTGAAATCAAGCTAATACATGGGCAATCAATCTGAGTCATAAGCTAACCATGAACAAAGAAGTCTTGAATTGCAGAGACGATATTAGAGCATATCACAATAATCCAGATGCTTTTGAATAAATGATCATTTAGCCCTTCTAACCGAACTGCCTTCGGAGAGTACATATTGAACAAGACTTCCTTGATTTCCTGGACATGTACTGCAAAGATCAACCTGATGCCGACTTAAATTAGTTAGGTCCCTGTCAATAACTCTTCTGATAACCAAAAGAATTGAAGCAGCTGCTGACTCCATATATTCTTGTACCGCTGTTTCCTTAATTACATAATGAGAATGAGCTCTGGCTCCATCATCCTTTGACTGAACCATTGCTCTTGCCTCTGTATGTCTTTAGCAAAATAATATAGATCACATATGCTATCATTCAAGTGAATTCAAAAGGCCCTAGATTTTTGTTGTCAAAATTTCTCTTTAATTATACTCCAGAAGCGGCTTCCTCTTCTCCTCAATTGATTGGGCATCCTCTAAATTCAAAAAGAGATGCTACTGAGGATGCCCCAAAATTTAAAGACTATAACCCTAGAGGATGGGTGGGGGGAGAGAGAGAGTAACTAGGGTTTATCTTTTTTTTTTTCCTCTAAGTGCACCTCCTTTGTATTTGAGAGTTCTTTACATTTTTCATTTTTGTCCGATTTATAAAGTTTTTAACTTTATCATTTATGTTAATATTGACATATTCCTTTTACTATACTATTCCTCTTACCCAACAATATTTACTCCTTTCAACTTATTCTTACTGTACGGCTGTACCTACCTTCTTTCTTACCTCATTTGCCTATTTCTTACACCCACTTATTAGGTCTACACTCTCTCCAATTACATTAATTTGTGTGCAAAAGTAAAAGTGGATGTAAGAAATACACGGATAATTAAGGAATAAAGTGTAAGAAGGTAAGAATGTAAATTTTGGGTCTACACTCTCCAATTACATTAATTTGTGTGCAAAAGTAAAAGTAGATGTAAGAAATACACGGATAATTAAGGAATAAAGTGTAAGAATGTAAATTAAAGAGTGGGTGGGAAGGTGTAAATATTGAAGGGTAAGGGGAATAAAGTGAGATTTCAAAAAGGGACAAAAACAGAAACTGTTAAGAAATCTTAGAAATGGAAGCAGTATAAGAGTGTTGGTAGTTTTGATGGTTATTAGAAGACACAATTTTAATATCCCTAAATTAATATGTTAAGTCTTTCCTCCCAATTGGCCCGACATTGCCACATTGCAAGATAAACAACTCCATGCACAATACACATGCACATCATTTACATAGAGCTGTTAGATGAAAAAATTCAAGTGAGATCAACAATAATCATATGGAGAGAAGTCTTTCTTTGTTATAGTCTTTGTTTGTTGTTTGAAGAATGAAGACAACTTGTCCTCTTGACTTTCTTCTACTAAATATATGTTGTTACTTCCTTTGTCCCATCAATTCTTTCACACACGGGTTTAGTTGAAAGCCTTGAAAAAGTAAAGCTCTAATAAAAAAAAAATTATGTGTATTGATGTGATGGAGAGAGATAAAACGGTTGTTTTGCTGGAGAAAGAAGCGTAAAATATCTTTATTTAAAATTTTGTTTGAATCCAAATAGAAGTGCAATGGATATCTTGGAAGTTAGAAATTGAAAGACAAGGAAGCAGGTAATATGTTTTTGTGTGTATCCTCTTTCCCTTGCATAGGCCTTTGGAGGACTTTTTGTCATCATATTTGTGCATTCATTCTGAAGTTAAGCTTAATAGCTTATGAAACAATATGACCAAGACGTCATTGGAACTGCCTTGTGGCTTTGAAGTGTGTTATGAATCACTCTCCTTGAGGCCTCATCTTCATCTTAATAGTTGGCGGTTGCCATGTGTTTTCATTGAATTGGTACTGTTGAATTGACATAGAATTATCCAAGTATGTTCTCATGTATTCTTCGTGAAACAATTTGAAATAATTGTGATCTATTTTTTAGATGACATATGTTGTTATTTGTACTAGGCCAATAATTAAATTAACTACAAACCAACATATTTTTCACTAATTAATTGATGCAGTAAGTCCATTATGATCTATTTTTTCTCTTGGCCATGGTTGCTTTGGTTGGTTGTTTTGGACAGCAAAATTTCTGATCTCAATTCCTAGCTTTAATTATAAAAATAAAACTTTCTGATTTGTGTATTTGATAATTGTTTTGTTTTTATTAATTAATTTATATTCTAAAGGGATTGTTGGTTGAAAATTTTATATTAGTTGTAGATGGGATATATTGTATGTAATCTGCTATATGGATTATGAAGAAACATTGTAAAGGTAATTTCTAATCTCAATGTTAGGTAGGAAACCTTACATTGTTTCTGGTGTCAATTCTGTGACTCAAAGAGCATGTTTGGTATGAGTAATTTTTGGGTTGAAAATAGATTCAATTAAATCATTACCGTTGCCAAGTGTTTGGTTAGAGGGATCGGTTAACATCTGTCATTACCTAAGGGTATTGGTTTCCACCCATTTGTTACCTCTTTAAAATCTAAGGTAACAATTACCCTTTCCTCAAACAAAAATAAAGGGAGTTAGGTTTAAGTGAGTCTGATCCATGGTTAAACCAAACAAATGAAAAGGTAACAGTTATATGATTCCTTTCCTCCTCCTAATTTGTTTCCTTTCCACTTCATTTCCAATACTCATACCAAACGGCCCCTAAAAGCAAAGGCTGTAAGGTATCCTACAGCTTAAAGACACCTAATAGCTGTTCGACACTGTAGTTTGTAGACGGAGCAAATGTCTGGCAAAACAATTTTTTGCTTATCTGACCGCAGCATAGTTTTTATTTGAAATGGATGTTTTTAAATGGTGTTTAATACATATCTGTAATGTTATTAATTTTTGAAAATGCTGTCTTAGTGATCATAGCTCTTGCCATGTATTTATGATGACGCAAAGCTGTCCTCAAGATACTCGTTTGCCGAATGTTCCGATTTCTGTGAACTATTTTGATTTTGTGATACATCTCTATGTCCTCTTTCTTAATTTTCTCGTTATATATTGTCTCTATTCATATCTTGTACTCAGTATCTCAATTTCATGCTCAGGACTTCTTATATATTTGAAAATGAGCAAGGTAAGATCTGAAGGCGCTTCATCTGAGATGTGGAAGGTATGTCTTCCTTGTGCTGTCTTAATCTCTTTTCTATGGGAATAAAGGAACATAAAGTGGGAATAGAAAGTTCAGGGTATAATTTCCATGTGCTGTTTTAAAATACTGACTTGTTGAATTTATCAAACAGCACAGAAACCTTCTAAGTGTTCTGTATTTTTCTGGTGTAAGAGTTAAAATATGATGGTTAAATAATGCTAGTTTTGTTAAAGATATATGGTTTATCATAGTTTTAGCTTGGGTAAGAGGTGTTGAGGCTAAGGGAGAAATAAGAGAATAATTTTTACCTTTAGGCCTTTAGGGAAGTACCCATAAGGTTCAAAGTTTCTATGGGAGTACATACTCTGGGGTACACATTTTCATTTAGACATTTTAAAGTTATTTATTTTGTGCGTATGTTGATATTTAAATCTGCAATGGTGATTAATGGTTTGTTACACTAGCATCTAGATATATAGGTTTTATGCACCAGAGATGCATTGCTGGAATGGCATCCCTTAGAAGTTAGTATTATAGATGTGCACATCTTTATCTTCATTTGATTACACTTTCTAATGTGCAGGTCACCGGTCTTGCCGTTGTTTCTCTTGTGTGTTTCACAACAAGTGCTCTTATAGCTCTTCTTACTGATGTTCCGGTATGTCTTGAATTTTTTTTTTTTTTTTTAATTTATCTTGGAATCTTGGATTTCATATTTGCTTTCATTCATATAAGATATCCTACTTGGATATGAATTGCCATTTCCTGGTTGTATTTTTTGTGGCATGTTAACCTCTAAAAGTTCTGCAATGCTATTGCAACAGGTTCTTTATTGTTGGCGCCAAGAGCACATTAGTGTGTATTGTACTGGTATCTTATTGATGTTGTATTATTTTATAGGTACTTGAAAATTTTCTCATCACTTCATTGTTTTTAACATTGAATCATTACTTTGTCTCTGCATAATTTTTAGCCCACATTTACACACATAGAAGTGGCAATCATGGTTATTATTCATCTATTAGCTATTCTGTAATGGGCTTAGAACTCTAAGGGAAACTTGTAAAAATGTTGTGCTGTGAGCACCACTATTATGGTACCTGACTTAAATTGAGATTCCCTGGACTGGTTTCTTCAACACCTGGTCACCTGGTTCAAAGTACACAATTATACCTTAGACACAAAAATTGATTAGAGATTTTTTTAGCATGTGATATAAATGGATACTTTTTTGCAAAGTTTTGCTGGCAAAGTTTTGCTGGCAAAGTTTTGCTGTAAAGCATGTCCAATGTAGTGGAATGCCTTCTTTCTTCGTTGACATATAATATTCTCATTGCTACATCTTTCCTTTTCTGTTTCATTATCTATGTTATCCCTATTCAGCCTTTATAGAATGCACATCTCCTGCAGGCAAGTGATAATTGAGTAGTCTGTGCAGAGCATCTGAGCATCTGTAAAATAAGAAAATAAAGCAAAATGAGATGATGAAGTAGAAAGAAGGTTCTTGATAAATAGAGTTATGGAGTTGAACTATTTTGAGAAAATAACAAAATTTTGTAATGGGGCGATAGAAAGATTGCCAAGAGCTCATACCTCGATTGCTTTTTAGGATCTTTTCACAGAGCATGTTTTGGAGTTGTTAGTAATGTAGAGGAATGCTAACTTCTGGCTATAGTGCTTTTAAAATAATGTTTATCCTCTAATAATATATTTCCTCCATCTCAAATCTAAATGATTGCATTCTGTGTTAGTTTATCTCAATGTAGTTGATCATTTTCTAAAAGACTCCGATTGGAAATGTTGATTGTAATTTGGTTTGACTGTTTTCATATCCCTGTTTACTTGCTGACAAATGCTTTTGTAGTCCTTGCCAGTATTGACATATAAGAAATTTTGATGAAGATTATGATTTTCAGTTAGCTCTTGCATGCAGGTTCATCAACACCCGCAGCCTTTGTATTGTGGGTCATGAGAGAGCTACCACCTTCTAGGGTAGCCGATAGAGACGAAGAATCAACAATAGTAACCTTCATTAGTGATGGGTCAACAGGAGTAGATAATCCTCAACGCTGGACTGCTGTAACAAGCTTGCAAAATCAGGTTTGCTGTCAGATATTTAGTTGCTTGCATCCTTCCTTGATGGTTATGCTGTCACCAAAACATTAAAGTTGTCTTTTCTTCATCTGGCAAAAACATCCAAAATAACTTACTTCCTACTGTCACAGGGTTCTAAAGCAAGTCCCATCTAATGTAGTGGTCTGAAACATACCTGGATGAAATTTCTTGGTCAGAATATTGCTATTATCATGCAAAAGGTTGGGCAATTTGACATTTTGAGTTTTGCAAGAAACTGGTTTATCGTATCGTGTGGTGCTTACTTGACAACCAGAGTCATACCCCTGTAATTCAATTGTTTTCTTTGAATTATCTGTACATAGTAGATCCACCCCTCTTCCAATCCTGAAAGGGATGGTTGGAGGACGCTGGAAGGTAGCCAACCTCTTTCCTGACATAGAAAAATGGGAAATTTTGTAGCTCAGCTCGGTGAAATCTGTCACTATGGCGAGTATAATCATAGTTTACATGCATCTATAAAGAATTGTCACATTGTTCTAACCCCTTAAATAGTGAAATTAAAGATAATTATAATTTTTGTAAGATATACTTTGTAACAGTTCACTTTCCCATTTTTTCTCATTTCTTTTAAGTGAAGGTTTGTTATGATATCCAATTTTAATTTTTAGTTAATGCAAGATTCTAAAAATTCTTGAGAAGTTCAATATGAAAACGCTAGAGTATTTCGTTCTTTTCTTTGCCCAGCAAATTTCACAGTAGCATAAAAATGCATGTGGTAGATTGGTGGTAGTTCAAAATTGAACTGCAGGAAATTGAAAATAAATAAATAATTCGTGACTACAATCATACTTTTCATTATACTAACAAGTGTTTAGCCCAGGCGATGCCCTAGATCGATACTTTAAATATTATTGTATTATAGTTTTCATGTGCTATATATATTGAGGCCGTCCCACTTGATATATTTGATAATCGCTTTTTGTTTATCAAATGATTCTTTTGTAAATAAGTCAAACAGTATTAATTGCCAACTCATGGATATGCTGTCAATTATTATTGTGTGGCATTTAACTGAGGCATCAATGAAATAACTCCGTCACAAATTTTCCTTCATTCATCAATGGTGGCCATAGAACCACCACCACCACCCTAACCAAACATGAACCTCCACCAAGACCATCTCAATTCCACCCATAACCCACCGACGACATCACCATTGACGGCTTTGCCGCCAAATTAAACTAAAACCCTATGAATAAAGGGTTAAACTAAGGGCATTGTCAACCCAAAAGGGTATTGGTGACCATCTTCTCCATTGAAGTATAGTTTTCTTTGCTTGATTTCCAAATATGCAGCTGAAAATGGTGGAAATTGGGAAAGAATTATAAGGAAGATGAAGGAGGAAAAAGTACTTCAAGTCTTCAATAGAGAAAACAAACGTTTATTTTGCTAACTCTTTTAGTAGGTAAACATTAAGTGAGTTTTATGACATGGAATTGTATCCATGTCAGTCATGGCAAAAGTACAATATAACCCCCTTAAAAGTAGAAAACATGTCCAAAATACCCCTTGATATGTTTTTTTTTGTTGATCAAATATATCAACATGTATTTTCTGATATTTTTATGTAGATGAATTTCGCTTTTAATTTTATGTTTTGATGTACATAATAATTAAGTATATGTTTTTTGTTTACTACTTCCGTTTCGTATTAGTTGCAACTTTGGAATATTTTATATCTCACAAATAATACCCCAAAGTTGCAACTAATAAGAAACGGAGGTAGTAGATAAGATTTAATCTTAGAAAACATTTTGTGTTCAGTTAATATATAGTTAGGAGTACTCCGTACCACTTGATAGCAACTGTAAAATTGCAAATAAAACACTCTCAAGGTTTACACTCTACATTAAGTATATTTAAGAAGAATAAATAAACAACATTATTAGATAGCAAAGATGGCATGACTTATTCATTTTCCAATTGACACGAGTGCAATTTTTGCTTTTTTTAATATATAGTATAGATGATTGGCAAAGTTTGATTATTAATTAATAAAAAAATATATAAGTAAACTTAAAAAATTTAATATCAATTTTTTTTTTTTTGAATGCAAATGAGGTGCTAGGGTCCAAAACAAACATAAATAAGAAAAACAATGTTCCCTTTTCGTAAATTAATTCAAATTTTTATTCAACTTTGACCGTAAATATCTTTAACTAATAAAAATTATATTTATTAATAATCTACTCACCAAGACGAATCAAACTAGATCGCACATGACTATATTTATTCTTACGTATTAAGAGAAATTTAGAAGATTCTCTTTTTTTTTTTTTTAAAAAAGTCAAAGATTCAAGACAACAACATCATTGTGGAACGGAGGGAGTACCATTTAATACTAAGGTCGGAAACTGAACCAACTCCACCTTGTTGTGAAATATGTTGGCCAAATTTCTGGAGGTTAAGAGTTCTGTTGTTGTACCTTTATGTTGCGCACAATCCATTGTTGTAGATTTCCACTTCTGAAAATGCTCGCGTTTGCTGGTCCTCCCTCATTCCTCCACACTTCTCTCGCGGCCTTACTGTCCCTTAGGACATGTAGTGTGGTTTCCTCCCCATGATTACACAATGTACACTTAGGTCATCAACCAGAGATATGTTGTATCTGTTAACATTGCACATAACCCTGTTATGCATGGTCAACCAGAGAAAAACACGAACCCGCTGCTGCACCGTCACTCTCCAAACCAAGCCCCAACTGACATCCTCCTGACCACTATTCTCTCGCCTTATGATTGCTAAAGCCAACTTAATTGTGAACTTACCTTACAGTTACCCCAGTATAACAAGTCACGCACTGATGAGTCCACTTTTAGCTCATGAGCATCAATTATAATTTTGAAAAAATAAAAGGAAAATGTTATACATAACCCTTAGAGCTACATATAAACATTAAATTTACACTTGAAAATCGTAAAAAGTTAAGAAATCGTCAAAATATAAACACTAATAACACTGATTTACGCATGTTTTGTCATGAATTCCTAATTTTAAACAATTTCCAAGAATATATTTAATGCTTATATATAGCCATTAATTTGGAAGATGAAGGAATAAAAGTAATGATTTTACTACTATTATCATTAATGTATTTATGAAAGTGCAAATTCACAACATAACTTGGTATTTGAAACTGTGTTTTACATGCCTAAATCTATGTGAATTTACCACAAAAAGTACTACGTATCTCGAGAAATATGATCAAGCGTCAAAATGTGTGAAATTCTCACAATGACATCCGCTGTTTACAATAACTTTAGGAGCCATTCTATGTAGAAGACTGCTCAACCGGAAATTTATGTGATCAATGAGCAGCGATGTAAGCCTCAGTGATGCACCCGGTACTCTACCATAAGATCGTCAAACCAATGGACAAGGGAGGGAGCTGGCCAACAGGTGTACTCTACCATAAGTTGGTCACATTCACCAAAATGACTAATTGCACTAGTGCTACGAAGAACTTCCCCATGCAACGAATACCACTGGGAACTGAGCAAGAATAATACAGAGTAATACCAAGATAAGGCATTTACAAATATCTGCATCTCAAAATTGTGCCCTGCTACTGTACCAATACAACTAAAAAATTATTAGCGAATTTTTTTTGTGTAAAAAAATAATGCAACAACTTATGCATTTACATCCTGTCCTAAATTCTGTGCATATTGCCGATCACTGTCAGCCAAGTTTCCCCGCCAGACCATGAGGCATACTTGTGTTTTGTCAAAGAGCTCATGAGTTAGATCCAGTAAACAAAAAGTTGACAATTTTCTTCAGCAGAAACTGGAACAGAAAAAAGAGGAGCATTTTAGAAACAAAGAAGTCCAGTGTTCTTTAAGTATACCTAGTTTAAATAAAAAACTATTCCATTTGAAATAAGCATATTTCAATGTGAGAATGTAATGGAATGGATTGTAGAGCTGTAGAGGGCAGCCTAAGCTCATTTGAGCTCCCTTCAACATGTACCCAAACATACCCAGTCAAGAATTACTTTACAGGAATCACTCCAGTCATATAAAGGTCTTTTAGTCAGATTAAGATATGATAACATCCTTTACTCATTGGCATCTTTAAAGTAAACAAGTCTGTTTGTCATATCTAACAGTGGAAATTGAAATGGAAAATAACAACTAAAAAAAACTCGGCTGATTTCTATTGTTAGAGTGAATATTAAATGCATTATGCTTATGCATACCTTTCTTTGGGTTGTAGGAACCAATCACAATGGTCCAAAATCTTTCATCGGCCAAATCTACAAAATGTCCAGATAACAAATTTAGACAAGAAAGCTTTTCCAACAAAAGAACTCAATATAGGAACATATAACTACAACTTAACACACACACACAAGCCAGTCACTCAAATTTGCATGTTTGATTGAAATTCCTGACTAACAGCTCTTGATTTGAATTCCTGATTAACAGCTCTTGATTGAAATTGGACAAATAGCTCAGACTTAAGTTTCACTAACAGCTCAAACCTGACTCCCAAACTTATATGCTTGATTGAAATTTCTGACTAAGAACTCAGACTTAAGTCTCACTAACAGCTCAAACTTGACTCCCAAACTTTTGCCCTGAAGACTTGGGAAGCATCCATCTACTTTAGACCTAGATTCAATAACATCAATCTGACCACAAAGTAGCTTTAAGCTAGCATGAATACGACATTATCAGATCTTGCAACATGGGAACTGAATACATGAAAATCTATCTAATTGGAGATGCAATGTGGCTAGGAGAAAGATATTCTTACTTGAAACAGAGAAAAGGTTGTACTAAATAAAAGATAAAAAGATCCAGCAACAGAAGTATTTCCAAATACTGGTCATTGAGTAAAGAGAGTGGCATTCAATGTCAAAAGCTCAGGTTTTGTCAATAATCAGATGAAAACTAAAATCATTACTCCAATAACATGGCATGACAATTGACAAATTAAAAGAATAGGGTTCACTCTAACAACTGATAGATAAAAGTCGGCTTCTGATTTTCTTCAAAAACTATGTTTGATCAAAAAACCATGTCTACTATGCTATGTGACATTATAGCCAAGCTGCTGCAGCACCTGCAAACACTAACCACTAGCTTATGTTCTGTAATGTTGGAGTTCTTGCATGTAACCAAAATTTCATTTACTCCCTCCGTTTCTTTTTACTCGCAACAAACTAGTAGTTTGCGGACTCCTAGGCAGAAGATGGTTAGTGTAATTAACAAAAAATAAGGGCATGTGTTCAGTATTAATCCAACCCAAAAAAAAAAAAAAAAAAACCACCACCTATCACCAACAGCAGCACCACCACCACCTAGCACCATACGATTACCACCACCTATCAGCACCACGACTTCGACCCAGCACCACCCCATACTTCGCCCACAACCACGCGCGATTTCGACCCAGCACCACCCCCGATTTCGCCCACAACCACGATTTCGACCCAGAACCATGATTTTGACCAAGCACCGCCCCTGATTTCGACCCAGCACCATGATTTCGACCCACAACCCCGATTTCGAAGCACCACAACCTATTTCGCCCACAACCCACAACCTAGAAGTACCACCACCACCTATTTCGCCCACAACCCAGAACCCCGATATCACCCACAACCCAGATTTCGACCCACCACCACCTTTCGCCCACAACCCACCACCGAATTCGACCCACAAAACCCACCAACGATTTCGACCCACCCCCAATTTCGACCCACAAAACCCACAAATCCCACAACGAGGAAGGCGGCGACAGGGAAGAAAAGAAAAGAAAACGGAATCGGCGACAAGCGAGGGGACAGCGGCGTGACTTCCGGCGAGGTGTTGCGGTCGTATTGAGGGGAAATCGTTGAAGAAAGAGAGAGAAATTCTGGGTATGGTGGTGGTGGTGGTAGTGATGGTACTGGTGGTGGTTGGCAATTGAAAGTGATGATGAATTTAATTGGGAGGGGAATGATTTTGGTGAAAATGGTTAAGTTAATTAATGTAGAGTTTAAGTTGGTGAGATAAAATCAGTAGTTTAATTAGGGTGTTTAAAAACAAAAGTAAGGGTAATTTTGTAAAATCACACAAAAAAACTCAAAAACATACTATAAAAGGAAAGAAAATAGTTTGTTGCAAGTAATGTGTAACGGCTATTTATAGTATTTGTTGCGAGTAAAAAGAAACGGAGGGAGTATATGACTATACCCTAGATAAATAATAAGCTAAAGAGAACAGTTTCAAGCATTATTATTCATGTTTTAAACACAGATGATAAAGCTGTGTGAGAAGAATTATCTAAGACACATCAGATAAACACAGATAACACAAAGAACTGCTAATCAAGTCAACATATAAATAAACAAAAAAATAGAGAAATAAATTTAGATACAAGCTGCAAATAATGAAAAATGCCTACAATTATCCATGTTCGAAACCACATCATGAATTAATAAAGCCCCAGTCACCAAGTCAGTAAAGAACGGACTTTAACTAAGTCTATATTTAGTTGAAAGATTCACAATTCATTGACTTCAGAGATTAATGAAAAGTAAAATAGCTCATAGTTATAGTCGATGTTTATGATCATTATTTTGGGAGTAATTATTGACATAACCGTGTTAAAAATTAACAGTTAAAAGAATATAGCCTCCTACTATCTAATGGTCAAGAACCATTTTAGAGGGTATGTAGCAATTTGTCATCCTATAAGCTCAAATTCAACCCTCATCACCAGTCACTACAATTTTTGTCAAGTCCAGATAACTTACTGGTTGTATTTATGTAACACTGATGATCAGGCTATCCATGTACCACAAATATGAAGATTCTTCAACCCTTCCACTTAACACTAATCAGAAATATAAAATATATAATTTGCTAGCATAAAGTTCTGATATCAGAAATATAAAAATATAATTTGCTAGCATAAAGTTCTGATATGTAAACAAGAAAAGAGCTATCTAACAGTGAAAGCAAGAATTTTCTATTAGAAACTGATAAAGCAAGTTTTATCTTGAAAGAAGTGTAAGAAAATATTAATCTGATGACTTACTTTCCAAAATACTTTTCCATAGAGAAGACCATAAGGAACGGGGCCAAAGTGTCTTGAATCTCTTGAATCATATATGTTATCTCCTTGCACCCATAGATGCCCCTTTGGCACCTACATAATATGGGAAAATCATAATTTTACAAGGTGGGAAATTTTGACATATACCACAGCTAATACGCAAAAATGTAAAACAGGGGAAAATAAATAAATAAATATATTAGTATTTAATAGTAGGACATTGATCAGTAATTACTGTCATTACTTATACGCTTATAGCACAAGAAGTCACAATATGTAGGTCAGAATTGGACTCTCTTGATATAAAGGGTAACAAACTCCCTTGGTTCTCCCATGTTAATCATTGAGTTAACTGATCACAAACTTCTAGAAGCTTGTAGCCTCTGAAGATGTCTAACTATGCACAGAAGATACACACATTTCTTTTGGCAGATAACCACCTAGGGGAGTCTGCAATAGTATAACATTGACATATATCTAAAATATAAACCTTCATCAATCAAGCTTGACGAATATCCCAATTAAGTAAATTAGCATGGTTAGAAAATATTCCATTGTTTCAACATTGCATCAAGCTGTCAATCTAGACATCCATATGACACATTCTAAGCCCCAAAACTCATAGCAACAATATGAACAAATTATTTATGGGCTTCACTAAGGGACAACAAATTCACTATAGCATTTTATCGGCATAGAATTCTAGGCAAAACACAATTCAATGAATTATTAACACGGTACCACATTAGTTTTTGATACATTCTCGGAATCTGATGGGAAGTACCATAAAAAATCTATACACGTAAGATGGGTAAAAGAGCTCAAACACCACCACGCATTTTCATAATCCCACCTAATCACTTTAAGCTACCAAATCATCAACAAGATGTACATTTTATGAAGCATTTTTAAGATTTTATACCCTCTTAAGGTGTCATTCTCTCTTCAGTGGTATTTTGATAATTAAAGTGCCCCCTTACAACAATATTTCTCTTGTAAATTTCAGCTTTGTAATACAATTACTCCAAACCAACATTGTCGTATATATGCTTTCAATCCACATTCTTCTTTGGTAATATCTGAGAACGGCAAACTAGCGGGAAAATCTATAATTAGACTCAAGTGATACATCATCGAATATATCCAGTGACAGCTTCACCAGAAAATCAGCTTAATATCACAATGTATGAAAACTACGGGTCTTAATTGCTACGCAAAAGGGGTTAATTTAACAATTGATTTGAGTAAAGGGATAAAACTCGCCGCACAGATACTAATCCAAAGAAAAACTAAACAAAATGCCAGAAAGTAAAACACCAAAAACTAGTTACCCATTAAAGAATTTAAGCATACCACAACGGTGTTAGATTCATCATTGTGCTTAGGATCAACAAGATACGTAACACGATCATTCTCAACTCCGACCAATCGTTTAGTGATGACTTTTCTAGGGTTTTCAGGCGAACAAACAACGACAACATCTCCAACAGCAACATTGCTAAATCGAGGCGAAATTCGATCGATTAGAGCTAAATTATTCCCAGTAATATTAAAGGTTGGAAGCATACTTGCACCAGGAATCTGGAAAAAATAATATTGGTTATAGAATTACTGGGGTTGATTAATTAGAAGTTTTGATTGAATTGGTAATTGAGAAAGAAAGAAAGAGAGAGAAAGAGTACCCTGGCAACATCGAGAACGTAGGTACGAGTGACATGGACGATGCAGAAGAACTTGAGTAACGCCATTGATGAATTGGAAGCTTCTTTGATGAAGAATCGCCAGAACTCGGGGTTTCTGAACACCATTTTCTGTTCTTCACCTTCTTCCGTTTGACATCTAGTACAGTTTTTTTGGTAACCTTTAGGAGATACCTGGTTGATCTTTTTGGGCTAAATACAAGTCATTTTTTTTGTTATACAAATTTTTACCTACACCCCACGGTAGGGAACACCACCTACAGTCCCCCCACCCTCCGCGCACCCTCCACGCGCGTCCCGACCCCGCTCCTTTTCATTTATGAATTTCCTGCAAATTTTTATAACATGTTCATTTTTGTATTAGTAAATGTTCATTTATATATCATTAGATGTTCATTTTTATAACAAGGAGTTTTTGTTCAAATTAATATATTTTTTGAATTGAATTTTAAGACTTTTCTATAAATAAAAATGAGAGAAAAATTATTTATAAGGATTACTGTATTCAAATCATTTTTATTATAAGAAGTATTGCATCATCTAATGTTCATTTTTGTTTATTCGTATTTTAACAAATGTTCATTTTATATCGTTAAATGTTCATTTCAAGAGCTATATGTTAGTCTCGTAGTAAGATGTATACAAATACATACATCTTAGAATTCTACTTATTTAAATAAGACATTGTTAAAAATAATTTCCTATATAAAATAAATTTAATTTGATTACAATAATAACACATTTCTATATAACTATACTATTACATGTAATAATTGTTTCATAAACATGAAAGTGAACCTAATGTACATATGTGTCTTGTTAAATGAACATTCTTTGTTACATTTGGTATAATAAAGTGTATATATGTATATCCTCCTTGTTGCACCTCTAATATACATATGTGTGTTTTCCATGTAATGCATAATATGAGCACAAGATATTTATCGCCTTCAACTTCTTTAATTGATTATCCTATATAGTAAGAGATCGATCAAGTGTTTTTAAAAAAATATTATATAAACACATTCCAAACAAAAGTACATTAAATCTAAGGATTCAAAATTCAACATTTACGCATTAATAATAATTACAAATTGGAAATGAACAAACTATAAATATATAAAAATATTTCAATATGAAAATGAAAACGTATAAAATATAAATGAACAATTATTAAATGATAAATGAGCATGTATTATTAACTTTTAAATGAACATTTATTAATATGAAAAAGAACATATAAAAAAAAAATCAAAAGAATATCTATAAATGTAAATGACCATTAATAATAATAATTCAATATGACAAAATACCATAAGATTAAATTATATTTTAAAATATAATCATCAGAGGTTTATGATGAATGAACAATATGTGATTTATTTTTGAACATATTCTAATATGTGAATGAACATACATTAATATATGTGTGAATATACATATATCCAAATGAACATCTATATATCAAGTTCGAATAGAAATCTATCAATATTAGAGTTAAAATGTATGTAATATAATATTCAAATGACGCTCATGAGCATATAATTTAATATGAAGTTAAACATGTATTATTATAGTCTATGTGCATATTTTCAATACGATAATGAACATGTACGTATTTACATTCAAATAAACAATTGTTTAAATACCAGTAAACATTCATTAATATGTAAAGATCATTAACAAAACTCTGGTAATCTTTTTCTTAATTAAGAATGAGCCCTAGCAGATCTAAGGTAAGAATGTAAATGAACACATACTAATATCATAATGAACATCTATCAAAATGAAAATGAACATTTACCGAAAAGTCATTTTCAAAATGAAATAATTTAAATCTTATTAGTAATTCTACGAAACTCAACTAATTCAGAAAATTAACATAATTATACTTTATACTCATTTTTCAATGGCAAACAATTTCATAATTCCTTATGATTTTTACATATGTAACGCAAAATTTGTAAACTAAAAATTGAAAAAAATGGAAAATAGCACAAAATATAGTAGATTTTATTCGTTTTTGCATAAAAATAAGTGTAACCATTGCAGATTATGTTTAAGAACATATAATCGCAAATTAAAATTGAAAAATTAGGGTTCATATATACACAAAAATTTGTACTTAGATTAAATTACTCACTCTTTCTCAAAATATTGTTGCAATTGAAAATTTTCTTCACGAATGTTAGACATTTGTAGTATTTTGGAGTAAATTTAGAGTGATATTGTTCGAATTTTTTTGGTTTTGATGAGAAAAAAAGTTTAGAGAAATTGATGAAGAAGAAGGTTGTAGAGAGAGAAAATATTTGAAATGGTTTTTTTTTTGTTTTTTTTTTATTATTTTTATGTACTGTGCAATTAGTGGGGAGGGGTTGTAGTTTGTCTACTAGTGGGGAGGGTAAGGGCTATATAGTAATTTAGTGAGGGGGGGTTTAGGTAGTTTTACCTAGAGGGGGATGTAGCCATTAGCAACTAAATTTGTTAATTTAAAAGACAACTTTACCATTCATTTAATAGTAGTATGGTGCATGTGTGATACACGATTTATAAATCAAACTAGTTTTTAAGCCCGTGTGATGCCCCGAGTCACTGCATTATTTTCAGAATAAAAATCATGATTAATATGTAATTTTGATAGAATGTCAAGTAAGAGCAACTCCAATGGTTGCTTTTAGGGACTAGCTTGCAATTTTAATAATTTTCAAGCTAATAGCCAAACCATAAGAGGATAGTTTAATAATTAGCTTGGCCAAGCTAATGCCAAGCAAATTAGCTTAGCTAAGCTAATTAGCTTTTGTCTCTAATAAAATACTAATTATTTAAAAAAAATAATGCTGAAAAATCTATATGCTAATTAGCTAAATCATTGTGGCATAAATTAGCTAGAAGGAAGAATAGCTTTGCAATCCTATGTGGCATGGCAAACTAATTTGGCAATTAGCTTCCTGTTGGAGTTGCTCTAATAAGCTAATAGCTTATTGGTTATCGTGTTAGAGTTTAAGTTTATGATTGTGGGAAACTTGTTTAGTAACGCAAACAAGTTGTATCTCAAAATGGCATTTCGGTAAGTAAGAGGAATTTCATGATTATTTTGATATTTTTTTGGTACCTTTTCTCGTCCTTTTCTTCTTTGTACTCCATCTTCTCCCTCCTCCATCTTCTTCATCCTCCAACTTCTTCATCCTCCAACTTCTTCATACTCCATTTTCTTCTTGCTTTACTACTCCTTCATTGTAATTGTAACACCCTCAAATCTTCCTATATGAAAATACTAGTATAATATGTATAATTATACCGTAGATAGATTTAGGAGTATTACCCCCGCGTGATTAAGCAAAGCTACTCAAAACTACTAACCAAAACTAAAACTTTGCAGCGAAAACTCAAACTCTTCCTCTACTAATACTTAGAACATAGTAATCATTATTATGAATACAAAAAAAAAAAAAGACAAAAATCAATATTCCTAAAACTAGGTGAAGCATATCCTGGGACTCCCAAATGCTCATTTATTGACTCCACTTGAAAATAGTCAAAACATTGCTTACCATTAAGGTAAACAGAGCGAACCAAAACCAAAACAAATACGAGTTAGCAAAATATGCCAAATACATCCAAGTACAAGATGAGTAAACTCAACTTATTAGCAAAAATGCTTTTAAAGCCAATTCCAATAACTAACTCAATAATTCAAAAGTCATACTTCAAAAATCAATTCTCAAAATTATCAAAATAATTCCAATAACTCAATAATTCAATAATCATGATTATTAAAATCAATTCCTCTTTTCAAAAACTCAATTCCTCTCCTAAGTGTGCACACCCCCCAAGATTTTTTTTATTAGGTTATAATAATGTTTTACTTGAAAGAAAGGGTTTATCTCCTTCGAAAAACAAGATTTTTTCGATCTCTTTTAAAAGACAAGGTTATTCGGATTCCTTCGAAAGACAAAGTTTTATTTGTGTTTAATTTGGTCTCTAGTTATGCGGGGCTACAATTGATTATGGCTCATATTCGAGTTACAGAATCAACACAAGAATTTACTCGCTCGCAAAATTGCGGAGCGACGACGGATCTACTCAAAAATTTGTATGAGACAACGAATCGAGAATGTGCTGAATTGTTATATCTATGTATTTGGATTCTTAGCCCTTCCCCGATTAATTCTTGTTTTATTTTGTTAAATTCGTTTTCATTATCGTTAATTGGCAATTGTAGATGTCGCATGGCTTTAATTAATATTTAGGACTTCTTTCAAAACAAAAGGTATCAAGCCACCTAAACGTAACTTGATCTTCACTTAGCAAACACAAAAGGAACCTCAAGAACTTTTGTCAAAAACACCTTACAATTAGATATAACCTTAATCAATATAAGGTCATTAATAATCACAACAACTAAATTAAAACCCCCAATTATATGAACATGAACCTTATAATATTCCATTTCATATTCTTGAATAATAAACTAATTTTATTTAATTAAAAACCCTCATAATAATTTTTATAAAACTGATGAGTCTATATATATATATACACATTTCCCGTGCCATGATCATATTTGTACTTATTTGAGCTCTGCGGAGCTATTTTTATTACTAATATGCGTTTTCTAGTGTTTTTGTAGAGTTGATATTATTTTGTAGGAATTTGCACAATTATGATAATTCTCGAGCTTATTGAGTTACTACAAAAACATTGGAGTCAAATCGTATTTTATGACCAGATATTTGAATTTCAAGGTCGAGCCAATTAAATTGGTTCGGAGATTAAAGGTCCGGTTTTATGTGGAGTACTAATTTTAATACAAGTCCAACACTTGGATATCAAGAAAAAGCAAATTGGGCCAACTCATATAAAAGCACATGTTAAAAAACGAAGATCCAAAGAAGCCCAATCCTCAAAAGAAGTTAGTTGGGCGAAGCTGAATGGCGGGCCCGACCGGGCAGACTAATGGGCCGATCGGGCGAGTGTGTTGCAAGTAGGGATGGCAATGGGTCGGATCTGGACCGAATTCGAATGGATCCATATCCAGATGCAGATCCGTTTTTGCACCCTGGATCCGGATCCTTCGGGTATGGAAAAGTAGGATCCATATCCATATCCGTTGGATCCTACTGATCTGGGTCTAAAACAGATCCAAAACGGATTCAACACATTGTACCTTGTTTTTTAGAAAAAGATCAACTTTCCAATTTCCATAAGGCTGAAATAAATATTAAA